GAGGAATCACAGATTTAAAGCTGCATGGGACTTTAGAAGCCATCTATTCCAATGCTATCATTTTACAGATTAGGAAACTGAGGCCCAAGGAAATTGTGACTTGCCTGAGGTCACAAAGTAAATAGAAAAGGTGGAATTTGAACACAGGTCCTTTGACTCCAGAGCGAATGCTCTTTCTACTGTACCACACTGCATTCCCAAGCAAAAGTTCCTGTAGTAGAAGTGGGATAAGGAAGTTTCATGGAGAAGGGAGTGCTTTGGCTGAGTCCTGAAGGAAATTAGGGCTTCTGAGAGGTGGTGATGAAGGGGGAATGCATTCTAGGCATGGAGGTTACCTGGGTATAGGGGACAGCCTACACAAAGGCCTGGAAATGGGCGATGGAGTGTTGTGTGTGAGGAACAGGCTTGAGTTGGCTTGTGCTCCCCAGCCTGTACCTTAGCCTGGCCAGTGATGGCCATGGCCCTGCTTCAGCCCTCAGGTGGTACTGAAAGAAGCTGCCCTCCCCACTTAGACAGGGCAGAGAGGTCCTAGGAGGAGGCTTTCATGTGGGTGAGATGTTATTATAGGGGATAGGAGGGACAATGGAGGTCTAGGAAAATGGAAACAAGTTTCTGAATTTTTCTCTTTTGCTCCTACTCTGTGGCACCAGGAGGAAAAGTCAGACAAGGAGCGCTGGCAGCATCTTGCAGATCTGGCTGACTTTGCTTTGGCCATGAAGGACACTCTCACTAACATCAATAACCAGTCTTTCAATAATTTCATGCTTCGTATAGGTAAGTACGGGGGGGCTCAAATGCCACAGGATAAGACTGTCTTAGTGGGGCCCTTCGTGCTGCTGGGGGCTCTGAGTTACACAGTGGCATCACGTTCAAAGGAGAGAAAGAATGGTGGTGAAGCTGCCATTTTGAGATGGGCCAAGAGAGCCAGTTGCAGAAGAGGCATCAAAATTAAAACGAGCCCTCTTTCTCACTGAACTCCTTGGGGAGAATATATTTCATTACTCTTGTCTTCAAGTCAAATTTTTTTCTTTTAAAATGTTTTATTGATGTATTCATTTTTTTTTTAAACATCATGGTCTCTTCCCAATGATGCTTCTTTCCTAAAGCAATTAAATCCTCCCTTGTAACAAATAACTGCAGTCAAAGCAAATAAATTCAGTGGTCATGTCTGAAAATGTATGCCTCATTTTGCCTAAGAGGCAGGAGGCAAGCTTTATCATCAGTCCTCCAGAGGCACACACGGTCACACATGAATTATTAGAGGCAGCTGGCAGCATAGTGGATCTCACTGGGCCTGGTGTCAGGAAGACTTGAGTTCAGATGTGACCTCTGACATGTCCTAAGCGACCCTGGACAAGTCACTTCACCTCTCTTTTCCTGTGTCCTCAAAGGAAGGTGGGGATAATCCATAACAATATCTACCTTGCAGTGTTATTGTGAGGATCAAATGAGATGTTTGTAAAAGACCTTTAGCACAGTGCCTGGTACGTGGTAGCGGCTGGAGAAATGTTTATTCCCTTTCCTTTCCCTCTAATAGATTTCTGAAATATCTCACTGTTGTTTGCTTATATACTGTTATGTTCATTATGTTAGTTGTTCTCTTGATTTTGCTTATTTCATTCAGCATCAGTTCACGCAAGTCTTCCCAAGTTTCTCTGAATTCCAAGTCAATTTCCACAGCTGCCTGGGGCCCACACTGGCTCAGTCCTGCCTGGCCCTCTGAGCAGCTTGTCAGAGGAGGTGTCAATTCTTGTTACAGATAGCCAGGTCTGAAAGGCAATGGCTTGAAGGGCACTGTGCTGGGTCATGGTGGGGAGGAAGTGGAGTGGGGAGCACTAAAAGTGTGACATGTTCCCTGTTCTCCAGGACCTTACAGGGGAGACAAGAATGATACCACAAATATATAAAAAATATTAAAAAACACCATAAGAAAGGCATTATGTAAACCTTAAATCACTATGTAAATGTGAGCAATTTATAACAGGTGATGCTGAACCTTTCTTATTTCTCCTACTTTTTCCACAGGTATGAACAAAGGAGGAGTACTAGCTGGGGTCATAGGAGCCCGAAAACCACATTATGACATTTGGGGGAATACCGTCAATGTGGCCAGTAGGATGGAGTCAACAGGCGTCATGGGTAACATCCAGGTATGTGTCCTTAGGGCTCAGGTATCAGAGTTAGAGCAATCCGCGGCCAGGAAAGCCAGCTCATTCATACCAGACCAAGCTATTTTGCCAGCCCAGCATTCATTCGAGACCCGTGTGGCTGTAGGGTTGCCATGGTCAGAGCCTTTCCTTTTAGATACCATTTAATCAGCAGAGGAGGCCAGAGACCTCGATCCAGGTCTTCTGTGAGGAGCCCCTGCCTTCTTGCAGCTCCCCTCCACTAATAACATCTGGATCCACGTGAAATCAGCATGGCACATTGGAATGAGTAAGGAATTTGGAGTTAAGAAGATCTAGGTTTGAATCTGGGCCCAGCCATTTACCGTATCACTCTTTGACCTTCAAGTTCTTCATCTGCAAAATTATGGGGTTGAACTAAATTGGACCTAAGGTACTTTCCATCTCATAATCAAGAGCAGCTTTGAAGGGAAGACATCACAAGGGTGGGATGGGAAGTGGCGTACAGATGAAGAACCTGAGGACCAGAGGTTGACTTGCCAAAGTCACGTACGTATAAATGGTAGAATAGCCTTTGTTCTTTTCTCATCGGCTAATTCTGAAGTCCCTTGTTGCCCAGCACAAACAGCTTCAATCTAGGTTCACTTTCCTACCCTATACCCTTTCCTATGTACCATTCCTCCTTTTCTAGGTGGTGGAGGAAACACAGACCATCCTACGGGAATATGGTTTCCGCTTTGTGAGACGTGGTCCCATCTTTGTCAAAGGAAAGGGTGAGCTGCTGACATTCTTCCTGAAGGGACGGGATAAGCCAGCCCCGTTCCCTAATGGCTCCTCTGTCACCCTACCCCACCAGGTAGTGGACAACTCCTGAGTGGCTCCCACCCACCCAGAGATGGGAGGAGCAGCTCCTGAAATCAGAGCGCTTTGTGAAAGACAAATGACTAAGTCTTGACATTCTGAAATTATCAAAAGGATTCCCACATAGACTTTAGATACAGCCTCTCCCTGCTTCTCCTTTGTTCTGGGAGTGTGAGCTCAGTGGGTACCTGCAGTCACCCCTCAGTGTGCTTACAGCTTCTCCTTCAAAGTAGGGAGAAATAGTCCTGGAATGACCTTTCCAGAACCCTAGCACTTCCCTCCCTGCACCTCTCTTCTCCCCTCCCCCTTAGCCAAGAGAGGCCAAAGCCACTGTGAGCAGAGCGTTTGTATCAGAGACTGAGCAAAGGTCTTTGCTACTGGGCCGGCCACCTAGACCTGATGGGGGTCTGCACAGACCGGAGGGATTGAGGCTTTGTATGTTACAGAGTTCCAGAGTGGGTCCAGTTTGTTTTCATGCAATCTGAGAGGAGTAAACAGACTAGTCCTGATTGGTCTGTTCATCATAATGGCATTCCTAGACATCCCTGCCACCTTAGTCTTGAGGTCAGGAAGAGTGAGTGCAATATTTCTTTTACTTGGGGGAGGGGAAAAATTTATTTCTGAAAGAAAGAAAAGAGATTATCTATAAACAGATTCTTCTACATTTATATTTTTAACTGTTTCTGTTAATTAACAGTTTCTTTCCAATACTGCCTTGCCTTTTGAGCTCTTGCTAGTCACCTTTGCTATAGCTTTAAGAGAATTTACAGGTGATAAAGAACAAGGCTGTTTTAATAAAATGTTTATCCAACTCTGAGCATGGTTATGGTGAGATTTCTAACCCTGCTTTCCTTCTGAGTGCCAGTAAACAGGGCTGCACATACAAAGCATCCCTGGGAGCTGGGATCTGGAGTCATGGACCAGAACCTAACTTTTAATCACTGGCCAGTCTTCTTCAGCATTAGGATTTGGGCTAGCAAAGCCCAAAGAATGGTCATACTATGCTGCTTAATCTTTTTCTTTCCCTCATTAACCAACGATTAACACCTTCCCCAGATGTGACAACCTTCAAGGAAGGAACATATCTTACAATCAGTTCCTAGTTATCCACACTGAGCTTCAACTGCCTGTGACACAGATAATATAAAACTCTCAATCAGACTTTAGAGCGTACTTCCATAGCCAGAAATGAGACTAACATTCCAGAATTCACATGCAGTGGAAAGAACTCAGAACTAGGAGCCATGAGATCTGGACAAGACAGACCACAGAGCCTGAGTCTAAAATTGCTGAAGCAAATACAATTCAGACACAGAGAGAGTTATATCAGGAAGCTGTGTGTATGCTGTAGGGCTACGCACATGAACTTTTAAACAAATTTGATACCCAAGGAAAAATCCAACATAACAAAGGCTTTCAATAATTCCTAAGTCAGACTCTGTAAGAAAGAATCAGGGGCTGTCATTTCCTAATTTCAGTGGTTAATTCACTGTTGATGTAAATTTTAGACCTTGAAGCCAGGCTGGATTAGTCTGGATTCAATTCTTTAAGATCTAATATTACCACTTGTAGGTAAGTTCACATGTCATTATCCTCCATTAATGATGGCTGGAGCTACTTGTGTTGATATCTGGGTTATGGTGGGAGATGAACTGAAACAGTGGGGTCCAGCCAAGTGGTCACAATGGAAAGCTATACTTACAGACATGGGGCCTTTTTGGAAGGGTAAGGAGAGCCAGGTTTTCTTGGGGGAGTGAGAACTATGACAAGGATTTTCAAGGTTCATGGACAGAGAGGTAAAGAAGGATGATCTCGGCAATATTTTTTTTTTGAGGTGGATTGGGAGGATCTGTGGGTACAGATGGCTGAAATAGCAGAGTGGGTATGATTAGGCTAGAATAGACCCTAATTATTCTCTACCCCTTCTCACAGATGGACTGAGTGCTCTAGTAAGATAGTATTTGATCTACTTATTCCACAGAATCTCTAATTGAACACAACCAAAACAAGGCATTCACTTAGCTACATTAGTTTATACGATGGACGAACATACATACGTAGTTTTATCATCTCATAATTTCATTTTCAAAAGCCATTCTGTTTATCTTCATAAGAAAACAAGATACTGTCAGCTAAGGCATCTGTGAGTCACTGGCAGCAGTCCTTGGTTCAGTGAAGCTTTGCCATCTCCTCTGTCTCCACCAGAATACTCCTCAATGCCTTGTTTCATTTGGTGATATGAAACAAATATCGTCAGGCCCAAAAAGCATTCAGCAAACCACTCTATGTAAGAGGATGGTAACTGTTCAAGCACTGCCCATGGCAGGTTAACCTCAAAGGTCAGCATCTAAAGGCTCATAGACTTGTCCCCAGTAAGTCACAGGAAAATCTGGGCTGGAGAGAGGGCGGGGTTTGAGCCTGAGTCCGTCCAACAGTTGTCGTTTCCAAAGGGTTGTGTGTAATATTGTGCTCTGGCTCATTCCTGAAGTGGTTTTCCAAGGAACAGGTTCATCTGCTTCAGGGTACACTGGATACACAATCAAAGTTCTCTCTTACTCTCAAAAAAGACTCAAACACCTTATGAAGGGCATTTTTATAGAATAAAGTCTCATGGACGGCTCGCTGGTTCTCCCAGGAGGCAGGCGTTGCTCCCGTCCCTAAAGAGGAAACATTCCATCCATCAGTCTGGTTTGGTACAAACAACGGCTCTTCCAGGGAAGCCTCCCTCCTGGCCGTGGTCATTCTTAGCACCGTAAACAAGTACAAGTGTGGACAGCTCCAGGAGCTCTCCCAAGGGCATTCATTTAAGACAAGATAATCACAGGTAAGGACTTGGCCCATTCAAGTCTAAGCTTTGTGAAAGATGCAGAATCTCAGCCTCAGGTTTTATCTTGTTCCTTGTTTCTCCTTCCATGTTCCTGGGAGGCAGTGTGGTATAGTGGGTAGCAAGCCAGCCTTGAAGGCAGGAAGACCTGGGTTCACGGCTCACCTCTGACATATATGGACTGTGTGACTTTTGAGCAAGGCACTAAACCTCTCAGCGCCCTCTTGGCAACTCTCTAAGACTGTGAAGAAGGTGCCAACCTGCACTGGATGGGGGAGTTTCAACACCTAGGGACTCCCTAAACCCTATGTAAACCCAGGTCTGGTGCTATTGCTCTCCTTGTGATGACTGCTCATGTTGTGTCAACCAGCTGTGGTACAGAAGGACAGAGCTGTCCTTGCCCAGAAGGCCAGCAGGGCAGAGCCCTTCCAAGCAGTGTAGTACAGTGAAAAAATACAAATGCTGGAGTCAGGTGACCTGGGTTCAAATCCCACCAGAGTGTTGTCACCTGTAAGATGTGGAGGTAGGACCAGATAACCTGCTAGCTCTAGGCCAGGGAACCTGTTGGTTCTATTCCACAAAAGCATCCAGACGTTTTAAGTGACTGCACACTTTCTCATGATTGTCTTGGTTAACCAGACAAGGAGGGACAAGAGCACTGACAAAATTCGGGTAGGGAAGAAAGGAAGAACTATGTCTTCCCTTCAGGAAGGGGAGGAAAAAAAAATCAATAAAGCTGGTGACAAATCTCAGTTCCTGCCCAGCCCTAGAGATGTTTGTGCCCAAAGGAAACTGGTTCCAAAAAGTCTGGCTGTTACATTTATACACTCCGTTGTGTTTAACTTGACCAAATTATGCTAAATATGATTACAGCACGAGGAAGCCTTCTCTCCATAAAGATACGGGGTCCTTCCTCTTACCTTGGTATGTAATTGTGACATCGGTGGGAAGAGTTGTTGTGAGGTCCTGGTACACAAGCCTAGCACAAAAAGGGAAAGATTCTCCACTGGGGTCCATGGTGTACGTGAATGACAGCAAAGTGCACAGTGAATTTCTCTGCAAGGGCCTGGCTAGGAAAGCTGAAAAGCCACACTAAAGGCAACAGAGTTTAAAACAAGCACACCAAAGAATACCATGATTATTATCATTGTAATTGGAATAACTCATGATACTTTGAAAATATAAACACTTGGAGATATTAGTATCTTCAGAAAGACACTTATGCTGGATGAACTGGAGGCATGGCCAGACACTCAACAGTGAACTTGAAAAGATGCTGTAATCCAAAACCAGCTTGGGAAACATTTCATTAATGTGATTCACTTATTCTGCTTTATCAGCTCATTCTCTATCTACCTCTACGTAATCCTAATTTTCTAGTCCTAGAAACAGAACACAATGGAAGAAAGCCTAATCATTTTTAAAGTAAGTAAATTACAAAAGAAAGTAAGTTATTATTTTCCTTCGCAAAAGCACAACAATCATGCTCTCCATTTCTGTGTACAGACAAAGTGAAGAATAGCAAAAGTTCAATGGTAAAAGTTTAAGAATATTTTTAGTCTACCCCCGAAATAGCATCCCTGTGCCAACATGAAATTTAGCTATTTTCAGTGGAAAAAGAAATGTGATTCTATGGATCAAGAAACAGGTGGAAAAAAATCAGGCTCAAGACTTCAAGCATCTACAATTTCATTGAGGCAGACACTATAGTGGTATCCAAATTACTAGGGACAAGCTATAATTTCAATATGGCTACATTTTTTTTTTGACAAAGATCATGCATGTATGTTTCTACTGAAACTATTCTGATCAGTTTTTTCCCTGACCAGATTAAACTGCATTGAGCTGGTTTCCCTACTTTTAGTTAGTTCTCTGTCAGCTGCGTGATGGATTTGGTGTTACGTATGTGTTTTTTTGTGTTGTTAATTCTGTAGTTTTTAAGAATAGATATTCCTCCAAGGAAATGTGCAAAAAATTATAGCTCCTAAAGAGCATTCTTCAGTTACTGTTAGAGATGTTGGTGTGATGAAGTCAAGTGGTTCAAAGATAATTCAAGTTCAGAGTGAAAAAAGATTAGTTGCATTGAAGAACAAAGGAAAGTGTTATTAAAAATGACAAAACAATGTCAAGAACTGAAATTATTGCTTCAAAACATACAAATTAATTATCATAAAGCAAGACCTGAGCTGTCATTACTGATTCTTCTACAGTATGATGTAAGCTTCTTAAAGTTAGAATACCAGTTAAAAAAAAACCCAGAATGCTTTTAAGTGACTGCTAAGAATATAAAACACTAGTTATGGGCATGACAATATGAAGACTAGCATCCTAAGGTAATTTTCAATGATGCAACTCACTTCTCATTAAGGCTATACAAAAACCACTGTCAAAAGTACAAGTGAACCTATAAGATCTGGGCATCTTAGAATTGGAAAAGGTCCACCCAAAAAAATGTTTTGAGGATTTTTTTCCTTCCAGAAGTCTTGGCTCCACTAAGGGAATGCTGAATTCTGATAAATGCTTTGATATACTGGGCAGAATTGTTCCAAAATTATAGAAATTTCCAAATGAAGATGGAATATTGCATCATGAACTTACACCATGCCACACACCATGAGAGGCTAGGAATTTACTAAGAGATAAGATAAATATGCTTCAGTGGCCTGGGATCTCACCTGATTTAAACCCCACTGAAAACCTAGAGGCAATAATCAAGGATAGATCTAGACAAATGGACCAATCACCAAACATATACTTAGGAATAGATATTAAAGTCTTGTGAACCCAAAACCAAATCAAGTAAAACAAGTCATTGAAGCCAAAGAGGCATGTTGCAAATTAAGTTTATTTTAAAGTAGTAAAAATTAATAAGCTGAATTATTTTGCTTTGTCCCTTGTAATTCACAATAGAAGCAGTAGAGGTTGCAGCGAGGCATATTTAAGCCTGACATAAGGAAAACCTTCTAAACAATCAGAACTATCCAAAAGGGCTACCTTGGTAGGTAGTAAACTCTGCTTTTCTGGAAATCCTCCAGGAAAGACTGGCTGACTATTCCTTGGGGATGTTATATTGTAGAATATGTTCTTATTCAGCTACAGGTTGAGCCAGTTAGTTTCTGAGATCCGTTTGAACTCTAAGATTTTGTAAAATCACAGCTTAATGAGAATGTGTAAGCCAAGGTGACATCAGGGAGCAAAAGGGTTAGAAAGGTTTTAATAAATTTAATGATTTTTGTTCTGCCTTTCACCTGATCCCATGCTGGGCTACATGTCTGTCACCATACTAGCCAGGTGGCCCACAGGGTGAAGAATATTTTGGCTGCAGCACCCCAAAATCCTCCCACCAAACCACAAAGGAGGCACAGTCTGTATCCACAGAGCCATAGTGGTTGTATTGTCCTTGGGTAAGAACTCAGTAGGGCTCAGTTTCCTCATCTAAAAAATAAAGAAGTCGGCTCTGATGCCCTCTAAGTCTAAGGTCCTCTATTTCCCTGAGTTGTCTTTTCTCATGATTAAACATTCCTTATTCCTTCCACTGATTTCCATTTGACATAGACTCAAGGTCCTTCACCCTTTTGGTTGCCTTTTAATGTGTTCATACCCTTGTTAAACTACTATATACATAGAATAGAATCCTACAAAACATTGGTTTGGGCAGGACAGAATACAATAGAGCTACTACTTCCTTATTCTCAGAAGCCAGGCCTCTCTGCAATACTGCACTAGCTGATTTGGACCCCACTTTTCTGTTGACACACTTATTAAACTCCGAGATCTTTTTCAGAGAAACACGATTCCTACATTTTGTACTTGTGAAATCTCTTTTTTCAACTCAAGTGCAAGACTTCCCATTTATCCTTATTAACTTTCACACTGTTTGAGTCAGCCTAATGTTTATCTAACCCATTAGGATCTTTTTTGGATCCTAACCCAAACATCTAACTCTCCCACCTTGTTTTGTGCCATCTGCAAATCTAATAAGTATTTTCCCTCCTCCCTTCAATTACTCCAAGTCATTAATCAAAATGTTAAACAGCAGTACAGGGCCATTTATAGCTCCCTCCCTAGGGCAAAACTACCAGAGATCTCATTCCAAGATGACACAGAACCATTCATGACTACTCTGTGGTTCTAGCCATTCAACTAATTCCAGATCTACCTAGGTATACTATTGTTTGGGAAGAAGAGGGAGGGGAGGGAAGGGAATATGCATTTATATAGTGCCGGACACTGTGCTAAGCCCTTTATAACTTATCTCATTCGATCCCTACAACAACCCTGTGAGGTGTAGGTACTGTTGTTATTCTCATTTTACAGTTGAGAAAAATGAGCTAAACAAACAGAAGTGAAGTGACTTGGCTCTAGGTCATACAGCTGGTCGGGGTCTGAGGCCACATTTGAACTCGGGTCTTCCTGATTCCAGGCTCAGGTTTGTACCACACCTCCTTTTACGTCAATCTCAGGGAAGACTTCATCAAATGCTTTCCTGAAACCTCAGTAAATTATATCTACAGCAGTCCTGTTCTATAAGTAACCCTGTCAAAAAAGAGAATTAGATTTGTCTAACAGCACCTCTTTTTGGTAAAGTCATTCTGGTTCTCTTCAATTACCACTTCCTTTTCCTGATATTCACTAATCATTCCTTTCATAAAACTTTTTAGAGTTTTGCCAAGAAACAAAGCCAAGCTGACTGGCCTAGAGCTTACAGACTCTATTCTTTTCCCCCCTTTCAGGAAATCCTAACATCTGTCCTTTCTCTTATTTTCCATGCTCTTTTTGAAGATCACTGACAGGTATGCAACAATTATAACTGTCAGTTCTTTTGGTACCTTGGAATAGAAGTCTGTCTGGACCTGGTGACTTGACTTATCAATGGGAGGACCCTCTTACTATTCCTCTACTTATCTTAGGTATCCACTCCCTAGTAATGATTTTTTTCCCCTGTCCTTTCTAGTCCAAAAAAGTACATATTGTCCTTGGCAGAGAAAACAAAATGAGTTAAATAGTTTTGCTTTCTCTCCATTATCTACCATCATCAATTAGTCTATCTACCTTAAAAGCTTGTAGTCTTTGGCTTTGAGGAATTCAAGGTCACCTTCAAACCACAAGGAAAAATCAAGTATGACTTTTGACAAACCAACTCCCCTAATAAATGCCAAAGGAGAAATAAATAGAGAAATGCTTCCTTAACACCAAGAATTCCTGTTCAAAGGATTGGCCCATTTTCTCAAGAAAACTGAGACCTACTAATAATACAGTAAATATTTTGGTTCTCCTGGTCTCACAAAACAGGTTATATACAACTTTGGCTCCAGCATGTACATACCTGCAGTTGATCTGCCTGGTATTTTCTTCCAGAATATCCATTTAGGTGTTCGCTGAGACTATACACGAAGTGTTGAAAATTAGTCTCCAAGTATTTTGCAGCTATCTGCTCCAGGGGAATGAAGACTGGAACTGAATGGCGATGTATTTGAAGTGGTTTCTTTATGATAAGATCCACATAATAAGAATCCAAGATGTTTCCCTCAAAAGCAGTGTTGAAGCAGATACAGACCCCTTTCGTGGTCAATTTGCCACTGAGACCTGAGACAAAGGATGAGATGAGACCTCTCAGTAGATGCTATGGGTTCTTACTCCTGCCTTTTGATTCTGTTTCAACTATATCCAAATAAGGACTCAGAACCAAGAGAAGACCTGCAGAGGAAGAATAACTCAGACTATTCCTAAAGATCAAAGTCGACGTGAAAACAGGAATATTTGTAACCTTTCTGTCTGAGGAACACAAAATACTCCGTACGTGAATTTTTCTATGTCCTCCTTGTGACGTGGAAAAACCTGGAGACAAAAAACTTATTCACTGTAATATACTAAGTCAAAATTAGTGCAGGGCTGGATATATCATGAATAAACTGAATGACAAAATGATTAAATGAACAAAGAGGCTGACATATTTTGACGGGTAACCTAACCATCAGGAGCGACAAAGCTGCCCATAGTTGTCCCACTAGTTGCAGGTACACAGTAGACACTCAAATGCTGATAAAATGCATCTAGGATTATAACAGTGTAATCATAGCAATATTACAGCTAGGAAAACTCATGTAAACCCTGCCTTCCCTCTGCCTCAGCTATTTTTCTCTATTCTGATTTTTAAGGATGATGAAAAAGAAGCCCACCCAGGTGAAACAACTTGTCCAAGGTCACTGATCACAGACAGGGAGGGTATGTGCCAGTACAGGGGTAGGTGGGCCAGTAAATACCTGTTAAATGGAATGCCTGAAAGAAGGCTTTAGCTTTCTCCAACTTCATTTTCAGATTTTCCTCACTGTTCTTCAATGGTTCGTAGGGTTCTAGGTTAGCGATAGGTATTCTGGCCTGCAAAATAGATTAATGCATTCATTCAACAACTCTGCACAGTGCCTATTATGTGCTAGGCACAGTGGGGGGTGTTAAAAAAAGATACAGAAAATATACAGTCCTTGCCTTCTAGAAGTTTGGAACATAACTAAAAAGACAGCTCAACTGATATTTTAGTGCCTACTATGCACAAAGCACTGGAGATACAAAGATAACAAAAGTGTCAGTCTGCGGCTTCAAGAAGCTTACACTCAATGGGGGTGGTGCAGGATAACGTAAATAGGTAAGCATAACACAAGGTGGTAATCAATTTTTACAGTATTTCATTTTATAGTACTTCATGGTTTACAAAACACTTTACATATGAACTCATTTGACCCTCTGACGTCCCTGTGAATTAGGCAACATAGGTATTATCCCTCTTTTAAAGATGAGGAAAGTGAGGCTCAAAAATTAAATGAGTTACCCACAATCACACAACTAAGGGTCAGAGGTAGGATATAAACCCAGGCCTCCGCTACCTCCCAAGTATAGCCACCAAGCTATTGATAAATCTCAGTCCACTTTACTGGATCCTCCCCATCCAGATCATGCCCTCTAACTGTGCCCCCTCAGGGCTCTGTCCTGGGCCATTTTCTCTTCTCCCTCTATACTATCTCATTTGGTGACTTCATCAGTTCCCATGGATTTAATCACCATCTCCACGATGATGATTCTCAAATCTACCTACTCTGCCCTAACCTCTCCGCTGACCTCCAATGACGTCTCTCCAGCTGCCTTTCAGACATCTCCAACTGGATGTCCAGTAAACATCTTAAATTCAACACGTCCAAAACCAAACTCATTATCTTCCCCCTTAACCTCTCCCCTGTTCAATCTTCCCTACTACTTCAGAGGGCAACAGTATCCTCCCAGTCCCTCAGGCTCATGACCAAGGAGGCTTCCTGGACTCCTCACTATCTTTAGCCTCTCACCTTCATCTCCATCCAAGCTGTTACCAGGGCTTGTAGATTTCACCTTTGCCACATCTCTCCAACATGCTCCCTTCTCTCCTCTCTGACACTGCCCCCACTGCAGTACTGGCCCTTTTCAGATCAGGCCTGGATTACTGCAGTAACCTGCTGGTGGGTCTCAGGTCTCTCCCTACTCTAGACCATCCTCTCCTCAGCCACCAAAATGATTTTCCTGTTTCGCAGGTCGGATCACGTCACCCTCTACTCCCCATAAACTACAGTGGCTCCCTCCTACAAGATCAAATACAAACCGTTCTGTTGGACCCATCATAACCTTAGCCCCACCCTACATTTCCAGGCTAACACCTAGCTCCCCAACAAGTACTGTTGGATCCAGTGACATTGTCCTCCTGGCTATTCCACAAAAAAGACACTGCATCTTTCACAGCTCAGAGCACATTCTCTGGCCGTACCCTATACCTGCAAAGCTGTTCCTCCTCTGCTCCCACTACTGACCTTCCTGGCTTCTTTTAAATTCCAACTAAAATCCCATTGTCTACAGCAAAGCTTTACCTAGCTCGATTCCTGGGCCTTCCCTCTTTTAATCATTTCCTATTTATTCTGTAAATTACTTGTTTGGACATATGTGTTTGCTTGTAGTCTCCCCCATTTGATGGTAAACTCCTTGAGGGCAGGAACTGTGTTTTGCCTTTTTTTGCATCGCCAGTGCTCAGCACAGTACGTGGCATATAGCAGGCATTTAAATGTTTACAGACTGACTGGCTGCTAAGGCAGGAATCATGGTATAAAGGAAAGAGCCACCAAACTATTCCACCAAAATCTGAAGACAGAAGGGAAAAAAGAGTGGGAAGGCAGGGAAAAGTAAATTTAATCAGATAAAGCTTCATGGAATAGCTAAACCTTGAAGAAGAAAAAGGGGGGCACGTGGAGATATAGAGATGAGGAATGAATACATTCCAGGTACTGGGGATGGCCTGGGAAACTCCATTCAGCTGTAAAGAGTTCGGGCGCCTTTGATCACAAAACTAAAACAGCTTTTGTGGAGAACTCATCAAACACTTCATTAATGCTTAACAAATGCCAGGCATTCATAAAAGCTGCACGGGTGTGCTTCGGAATTTTCAAGCACCTAGTTTCTGAGTAGATAAAAACAATTTCATAAGCTTGCTTTTATACACAGGAAAAAGGCATCACTTTACATAAAATAAGTCCTTAGTTTTTGATTACAGTATAAAATATAAAGTCTATTCTATGAGACTCAAGATCCAGAGCTGTAAATGAGGTTGAAGCTTTAATACCATCACTGCACCCTGAATTTTTTTTTGGGGGGGGGCAGAGAGAGGAATCTGCACCTGTGATTTCATTTTCTTGATACAGTAACTTTCATTTAATGCTGGTTGCCCAAAGCTCTGCAACAACATAGTCTTGAGCACTGAGAGGCTCGGTAACTTGCCCAGAGTCACAACAATCATGTGTTAGAGGCAAGATGAACCACGAGTTTTCCTGATTCCAAATCTGGCCCCATGACTACTATGCCCACTTGCCTTCTTGTTTTTTAATGTCCTTCTCCCAAGAATAACTATTAAGTATTAAACTCTACTCACACCGGCTTCGTGTAGCTTCACTTTAGTCCTCAGTTCATCCCGAAGCTTTCTCAGTTTGAGGATCTTTGCTTCCAAGTCAGTTTCCGAATCCTGCGGTCCCTGGTGCCCGTCTTGTGGCCTGGCTGATCTCTGATCATGTGCCTCCAGTCTTTCCAGCTGATATAAAACACCTGTGAGTGAAAAGACTTTCAGAAGAAACAAAAACTAGTGGGAAAGTATTTTATTGCCCACCAGAATGCCTGGTTTTGCTAGCCCAATAACACCAGTGTTACCAAATAACAATACACCCAAGAGATATGAAGGGATCGTATCAAAAAAAATTAAGCGATTATTTTCAAAAAATTTTTTCCTTTAAAAAAAAAATGTGATCTTTAGGTTTGTTGCATTCTCAATTTTTTTAAACACCTAAAGGTTTTTCTCCCACTCTCAACAGAAGGTATCTGTCTGTCAGAGGATCTTGGTTCAAATCCTAACTCTGCCACTTCCCATGTGTGTACCCTTGGGCTAATCATTGAACATCTCCAGGTCTTAGTTTCCTCCTTTGGGAAATGAAAAGGGTGGACTTGTTGACCTCTAAGGTCCCATCCAGCTCTAAATCCAAGATCTATGTTTTAATGGAAATCAATGTTGGACAATTTGGTTTAGGAGCTTTTTCTGAAACAATTATTTAATTAAAATGAGGATTATATATGTGCCCTTTATCCTTGTGGAAATTTCTTATCCACAAAAAATTATCTTTCAGGGCAGCTACATGCCACAGTAGATAGAGATAGCAGATAGAGCACCAGCCCTGGAGTCAGGAGATCCTGAGTTCAAATGTGATCTCAGACACTTGATACTTACTAGCTGTGTGACCCTGGGCAAGTCACTTAACCCTGATTGCCTAGCACAGGCGTAAGGAACCTTTGGCCTCAAGGCTACCTGTGGCCCTCTGACTGAATCCAAACTTCACAGAACAAATCCCCTCAATCAACAGGCCAAACCCAAGGACCTAGAAGGCCATATGTTGTCTTGAGGCCGCAGGTTCCCAACCCCTGGGGAACAAAAACCAAGAAAAAACATTATCTTTCAATTTCAAAGTACCTAAGTGATGCCCAGTTTCCATGGAAGTTTTACTATACTCTTCAGTTTTGAAGATGTTGTTTCCCTCTTGCCAAAAGAGCATGCACTGAGAATTACTTTTCCACGAATGGGGTGCATATGTATTCAATTCAAAAAGCATGTATTAAGTGCCAATTCCGTTGCAAGACACTCTACTAGGTGCTTGGGCAACTGAGGCAGAAAGAAGCTTATACTCTAATGAACAAAAACACTTAACTAGATAAATACAAATGTATGTAAAATCACTTGGGGGGGGGCACTATTGTAAGGAGAATCAAAAGGAAGCATCCAAGAACAGAAGTGATGTGGGGAAACATTTCAGGGATTAGGGGGAGGGGGAGACAGTCTGTGCAAAGGCCTGAGCACAGAGGAAGGAGAGGGAATGTCATTTTTAGAGGACAGTTAAGTAGGATACTGTGGATGGAATGTGGAATGCATGAAGAGTAATACAGAATCAACCTGGAAAATGGACAGGAGTCAAACTGTGGAGGGCTTTAAATGCCAAATGGATGAGTTTATATTTTGTCCCAGAGAAAATAAGAAGACACTGAAGCATCCAGGTTAGACCTGTGCTTTAGTACTATCTACATGGCTGCGATGTAAAGGATGGAGCATAGTGGGAAAAGGCTGGATATAAGAATAATACTATAATGTTACTGAACAGTCCAGGTGAGAGGTGATGAGGGCCTGAGATAGGATGACTGTGGAACACAAGCTGAGAAGGGGATGGATGTAAGAGATGTTGTACAAGAAGAAGTGATATGATTTGGAAACTGCCTGGATAGAGAGTGAAAATGAGGAAGATTAGTGAGAATGAAGAGTTGAGGACGACTCCTAGATGGAGACCTGGGTGAGTGGAAGGATGGTGGAAATCGTAAGGAAAAAAAAGAAATTAGGAAGAGGGCTGAGTTTATGGAGAAAGAAAAAGAGTTTTATTTTGGAAAGGTTTAAGATGCCCTGGCAACATCAAAGTCAAGATGTCAAGCAGGCTAAGCTCACAAAGACTGGGGCTGAAAATGGAGATCTGAGACTCATTCGCATACAGATAATTAAACCGATGGAGCTGATGGGAACACTACTGAGACCTCCAAAGTCTCTAACCCAGGCTCCTAGGTGACTGGAAGCTTTAGTGCACAAAGTAGCTCATCTTTTAGGGGTGCAGACAATGGAATGGAACAAAGGCCAAGCTAAAATGCACAAAAACTTTTATTTACTAGCCACTCAGATACAGAATTATTATCATGATTATTGTTATTTTTCTCTGAGAGGTACATCTGCAAAGCTTCTTAACCAGCTGTGAGATCTGTAGTAGTATGAAGGGGTTTAAGTCTAAGACTTTTAACCACTAATGGAATAGAGAAACCACCTGGGTCAAGGAGCCATATACATTACTTGGGTATTAGGGAAGGTAAAGACTTGGAACCAAAACTCTAGTTCCAAAAATGCTGAACTGGGATCCATAAGGCATATATACTTACCAAGAGCCACAAACTACATTTAATTAGCTAGACATCTTCAATAAAGAGCAATAAAGAACATACACTGTCTGCAAATATTTATGGAACAACGTGGGAAAAGAAACCAGTACGGGACAGAAATGAGGCGGCCAATAACAAATGCACAATATGCTACAAGTGTGTTTTTGGTTTTTTTTAAGCATCAAGGAACTAACACATAACGTTTCTGCTTCTAAAGCTTTTGGTCAGCATTTGTGACCTCTCGTCAGCTTAAGCTTCTAGCAATTAACATTGTGCTCCAAACACCAGGGGGACTGTATCACAATTTTGAAACAGTGTTAGTTTTCACCTTAGGTCAGTACTTAATTGGGGGAATTCTTAAAACAGAGGAATGTAATGAAAGGATCATTTGATTGTGCCGGGGTTAGGCTATCACCTCTACCCCATACTAGTTCTATGGTCTCACTTCTAAAATGAGAGGATTTTAGCCCAGATCTCTCTGAGGTCCTTTCGAGTTCTAACATCCTATAATCAAAGTGAGCCCAGACCAAAAGATGATGAAATGTCCTCCTCCAGACTCACCATGTTTCTGGGAAGATGCCATCAGCTTTCCGAATCCCAAAGTTTGGTTTGTTTGTTTTTAAGATACCTAGAGTAGATGACGGTGAATGTTCCCCGAATTCCTTGCGGAGAAAAGGAAAATAAGATAACAAACATGCCTTCTTTAGGTACGGACTGGTACACATAAATTATCACAATACTGACATTTAAATAGGACTTTAAGATTTACATAGCACTTTACAAACGCTATCTATCCATTTGAAGCTCACCACGACCTGGTGGGAAGCAGAAGGGTGGCAGGGGGATGGAGCAGCAGATTCTGGAGCCCAAACTCCTGGGAGGTAGTGGGGTGTAGGGGACGGAGGGCTGGGCTTGAGGTCTGAAGCCCCAGAGATTGAATCCCACCTGTGGGCGTTTACTGGCTTCGTAACCCGGGGCAAATCACGTAATCTCTAGGAGCTTCGGTTTCCCCAGTGGTGAAATTGGGATAATCGGACCCCTAGGTTACCGTGAGGATTAAAAGACAAAATGGGGGGAAAAAAGCCATCTGCAAACCTTCAAGTGCCGTATTCAATTATTACAGGCATTGTTAGTCCCATCTTAGAAAGGAAGATCGGCGGGGATTCGCAAAGGTAACAGTCGGTAAGGATCAGAAGTAGGTTTTGAAGCTAGATCTTCGCTACTCCACACGCCCAGGCCTTTTTTTCCCTATACGCCGCCTCTCAGGCTGATCCAGCAGTGCCGACGTCGTCTCGAAGAGGGTCTAGCTTCCTAGTCCGCCGGCTACGTCCCACTCCTCTGGGCTCTCAGAACCGAATGACCCCGTTTTCCCGCCGACAGCCACTTCAAAACAGGCTCGATCTGTCCCGGCGTGCCTAGCGCACACACCGTACAGCAAGATGGCAGCGCCCATGACATAGGCTCCCCCCATTCTTCCCGGCATGCCTTGAGGATTCGACGACTTTTTCCATCGGTTGGGAAGATGGCGGCTCCCGTTGAAGTAGTTCAGCCACTGGTGCAGTATTTGGTTCTGCGAGGGGACTTGGCGCGGGCTCCGTTCTCGTGGCCGTTAGGAGCGCTGGTGGCACAGGGGTGTCACGCGGCCATCGCGGCCTTGCATGCCCACCGCGACCACCCAAATACGGCGGCTTATCTCCAGGATCTGGGGAGCATGCGCAAAGTGGTCCTTGAGGTGCGGAACCCTTTGAATGGGGCGGGAGGAAAGGTGGTATTAGGGCCGGAAGCGGAAGGGACGAAGGGCGGGGGTTTCTTTTGGAGTCTTGGCGATGCCCTAGAGGGCGGAGATTGGTTCCACCCTGTTCTCCGGCCTGTGCTGGGAAGGGAGAGGGACGTGGGGCTTAGATTCCCTGCACTGTCAGGCCTGGTTTTTGATGCAAATTATGGGAGCGGCCTTCCGGTGTGGCCTCGGACGGCGGCCGTGCTGGCCCCTGCCCGGGGCCGGAGCCTTGGAGGGGCAATGGTTTGTGGGACACAAGTCTGCTTTTGTGCGGTGAATGCCCTCAGTTCGAGAACGGAGCATTTAATTAAGCCCCTAATTCTTTTCCAGGCCTTCTGCTCGGACCTGGGGATGCAGGGATCGTCCTCGTCAGAGCCATTGCTAGAGGAAAACAGCATGTTCGCAGATGATTAAATGCAGGATAGAAACAGAATAGTGATTGTTGAGAGCGGCAAAGCGCTAACACCAGAGGGGCTGAGTGTGTCAGGAACTAGGAGCTGCAAGAAAGTGAGTGGAAAGAAAGGGATGAATGTGAGAGATTCAGCAAGACTTGGTGACGTGGAATTGGGGGCAGTGCAGGCGATGAGAATGAAGAGGCCGATTGGGAAAGGGATTGTGATGACCCTGACCAGGAATTTAGGAGAAAAGGGGCACGTCTTATGTTCAGAAGGAAAATATATATTCGGTTTTGGACCTTTGAGCTTGTGCATATAGAACATCTCAGTGGAGATAGTGCAGTAAGCAGTGAGATAATGGACTGGAGTTTAGGAGAGACTGGGGCTAGGAATGTAAATTTGGTAAATTTTGCATGGAAAAGATAATTGAACAATTGGAAGTTGGTAATCTCATAAAGAAAAGAGGAGAGCCCCTGGACAGAACCCGGGGGTTACCTAAGCATAGGAGGCTGAATGTGGATTGAGGGAGATCAGTTAGGTATGAAGAAAACCACTAGAAAACAATATTATAATTAGTGTAAAGAGCGTAATATACTGAGAAAAGTCAAGAACAGTGAGAACTGTGAAAAGGTCTTTGGATTTAGCAATAAAGAGATCCTTGGTAAGGGTTGGAGAGAGTAGCTGATGGAGTAGTCAAAAGCACAAGGTCAGACATCAAAGGACTGAGAAATGAAATGAGATGGGGGAAAAATGGAGGCAGTGAGTGTTGACAGCTTTTTCAGTAAGTTTAACTATGAAAGAGAGACAGATAGATTGATAGCTTGAAGGAGTGGTAGGGTCCAGTTAAAGTTTTTAAAGATGGGGGAGACCTGAGCATAGTTGTGAGCAGTAGGGAAGTCAGTAGATGAGCTGTTGGAAATTAGGCAGAGAGGATTATCAAAGGTCCCTGAAGACATGGAGGGGATAGAATCAAGGATTCTATTGCAGAGGTGGTGCTGGCAAGGAGATTAGTGCTCCTCCAAGAGTGGAGGAGAGGATAGGGGATGATGTTGATGTGATTTAAGTGTAGAATCAGGGAGGAGAAGTGGTTCTCCAGTAATGGCCTTATTTCAGGAAGAGGACAAAGAAAAAGGATTTTGTAGGTCGCTTGAATAGAGAAAGAATAGCTACTGTACAGTTAGTCAAGAGAAGAATTTTCTGTGTACTTGTGAGGACCTATATGATAGCATAAGTTTTTGGTGGACCTTGTCAGCACGGTGTGATTTTCTCCTATGTCATTCTGAAATTTGTAAGCAAGAGTGAAGAAGGCAAATGGTGTCAGTAATCTGGTTGGCATTTGGAAAAAAGGATGAACAGTGAGGGGACATTGGGTCCAGGAGTTCAAGTATTTATTAAATACCTATCCTTTGTGAGGCACTGTACTAGGTGATGGGGGATACAGAATTACCTGGCCTCACAGAGCTTACATTCTTTTGGATAGTCACAAATGTATACAGAGAAGCGTATTTAGTGGTGTGAAGAAAGTATAAAGTTACCAGGGGGTATCAGGAAGGGTTTCTCATAGAAGGTGGTAGGTGAGATGAGCTTTGAAGGAAGCAAAAGATCCTCATTTAGTCCAGGCATTCAATGCAGCTTGTGCAAAAGCATGGCGGAGCAAAATTATATGACAAATTTAAGAAATAAGTGGGACAGTATGACTGGTTTGTTGAGCATGAATCTAGAAAGGTAGATTGGTACTATACTGATAGTTTCAAATGCCAAGAGGAGTTTGTATTTTATTCTAGAGATAAAATCCACAGCAGAGATCCACTGAAGCCTCCTGAACAGGAGACAGATATGGGCAGACCTGTGTTTTAGATTAATAGAATAAGTAATCCAGTATCAGAAAAAAAGACATTTAACAATTGTCATGCCCCCTCCACATATTTCACACCAGTTATCTTCTCTCCATTCACACATAATCATCACACTAATTCAGAAATTCATCACTTCTCACTTAAACTATTATAATGGCTTAATTGGTCTCCCTACTCTCTTCCATCCTCTCATCTTCCATCACTACTTCAAACTATCCTCTATAGAACTGCCAAAATATATAATATTTCTAAAATTCTAGTCAGATTCTTTGGTTAGTTTTATCTAGGTTTGACATAGGTACATTGAGATTCCCCAATTGCAGTTTTACTGTTGATTCTTTATCTAAATTGATTAGCTTTTCCTTTAAGCATTTAGATGCTATGCCATTTGGTACATATTTATTATATGTCCATAATGCCATTAAGCATAATGTAGTTCTCTTTCTATCTTTTAATCATCTGCTTTTATTACTGTCTATTTTTTTAGTTCAGCTGAAGCTTAATAGATTTTGCTCTAGCTCCCTTGTAATAACTTTGTTTAAAACTTTCTGCGTAAAGTCTGTTTTCTTGTAACATGTTTTTGGATTCTGTTTTCTAAATTCTGCTATTCTCTTTTATAGGTGAGTTTATCCCATTCAGATTTGCAGTTATGATCGATAATTGTCTATTTCTCCCTAACCTATCCTTTTATACTTCTTTCTCTGTTAGCCTTTCTCCTGGTCCTCTTTTCTCCCCTTCATACTCCAACCTCTGAAGATGGAGTTTGTTATGCTTGTGACTAATCTTTCTCTAAATCTCTCCTCTCTTTTAATCTCCCTGTCTACTCTTCCAATCCCTGTCTTCCCCTACCTCCCAATAAATATGAGAGAGAGCTTGGGGGGTGACTTCCCCTATGCAAGTTTTGGAAAAGGACCCCACTTAAATTTTCCCTTGTTGGGGTAGTAAATTAAGGGAAAGTGAATATATTTCTTTAAATGTCTTTCTGCACAGCTCGATTTGGGAATCTGGGATTATGGATGGCATGGAACTTGTGTAATTCAGTAGTAATTTCAGTAATTGCTGATATCCTTCTGGGAAGAGGAAGTAAGTTCATTTTTTTCTTTGTGTCTTTCTTATAGAAAAGGAAATGAAATCTCAATTAGGACAGCTTGCACATCAATGGCAAAGCTGAAATTAGAACCTGAGGTCTTCCTAGGCCGTCTTCTTTGGTATAATCTGGTCCTTTGCTTTTAGATAGTAGGGAACCATTTGACCTGTGTTCATATTCTTCTGTCCTTTCCCCTTTTTCTACTCTACTACAGGCTCCAGATGAGGCTGCCCTGATGGCTCTGGCCGAGACCTTGAAACAGAACAACGTTGACTATATGCTGTGGCTGGAGCAGCCAGAAAACATTGCCACCTGCATAGCTCTTCGGCCTTACTTCAAAGGGGAGGTGAACACACATTTGAGGAAGTTCAAGTTACTGAAGTAACCATCATATGTGAGAGCTATTTTGGACAAATGGGACCCAGAATCTGCATGCCACCCATCTCTTGGCATCTCTGCAAAAAGTGTGTCAACAACTCATTGACACACCCCACTTTTGCCTTCAATACTGGCAATTTCTTTAGAGGTAGTTGCAAATAGATTAATTTTTGAGAAAATTTCAACAAATAAATAGTTCCTCTTTCTGTGAATGTGGGAAAGATGGATGAACAACAATGGGACTCTGCTAGTTATTGTGTCACTTTGTGACTTGATTAGGTGCTTATTGGCCTGGGGCACTCTCTCTGTCTGGGAGGCCTTTAAACACATTTACACAGTTTGATGTGAATAGTTATCCTGGGGAAAGAAGGAGCTGCCTGTAGTCTACTTTTTCAAGCAGTAGCTAATTAGAATGAGGATGATCACTTTGATTTAACATTTCAAACCAGATCACAGGATTTAGAGCTGGAAGGTATCTTAGAACTCAGCCCGGGTGATCTTATCCCCTTCCCCGCCCAGGGACCCTTTTGGTAAATCTGAAGGCTGCAGACCTTTTCTCAGATTATTTTTAAATTCATAAATATATGCAGGACTACAAATGAAACCAAGTGTATTGAAATATAGTTAACAAATTTTTAAAAAGTCCATGAATTCAAGAAATGCTGATCTAATCCAACTCTGTTATTTTACA